AGACCAGAGAGAGAGACCAGAGAGAGACCAGAGAGAGACCAGAGAGAGACCAGAGAGAGAGACCAGAGAGAGACCAGAGAGAGACCAGAGAGAGAGACCAGAGAGAGAGACCAGAGAGAGAGACCAGAGAGAGACCAGAGAGAGACCAGAGAGAGAGACCAGAGAGAGACCAGAGAGAGACCAGAGAGAGAGACCAGAGAGAGACCAGAGAGAGAGACCAGAGAGAGACCAGAGAGAGACCAGAGAGAGACCAGAGAGAGACCAGAGAGAGACCAGAGAGAGAGACCAGAGAGAGAGACCAGAGAGAGAGAGAGACCAGAGAGAGAGACCAGAGAGAGACCAGAGAGAGAGACCAGAGAGAGACCAGAGAGAGACCAGAGAGAGAGACCAGAGAGAGACCAGAGAGAGACCAGAGAGAGAGACCAGAGAGAGACCAGAGAGAGACCAGAGAGAGAGACCAGAGAGAGAGAGACCAGAGAGAGAGACCAGAGAGGAGAGACCAGAGAGAGAGACCAGAGAGAGACCAGAGAGAGACCAGAGAGAGAGACCAGAGAGAGACCAGAGAGAGACCAGAGAGAGACCAGAGAGAGAGACCAGAGAGAGACCAGAGAGAGACCAGAGAGAGAGACCAGAGAGAGAGACCAGAGAGAGAGACCAGAGAGAGACCAGAGAGAGAGACCAGAGAGAGAGACCAGAGAGAGAGACCAGAGAGAGAGACCAGAGAGAGACCAGAGAGAGAGACCAGAGAGAGAGAGAGACCAGAGAGAGACCAGAGAGAGACCAGAGAGAGAGACCAGAGAGAGAGACCAGAGAGAGAGACCAGAGAGAGACCAGAGAGAGAGACCAGAGAGAGAGACCAGAGAGAGAGAGACCAGAGAGAGAGAGACCAGAGAGAGACCAGAGAGAGAGACCAGAGAGAGACCAGAGAGAGAGAGACCAGAGAGAGAGACCAGAGAGAGAGACCAGAGAGAGACCAGAGAGAGACCAGAGAGAGACCAGAGAGAGAGACCAGAGAGAGAGACCAGAGAGAGAGACCAGAGAGAGACCAGAGAGAGAGACCAGAGAGAGACCAGAGAGAGACCAGAGAGAGAGACCAGAGAGAGAGACCAGAGAGAGACCAGAGAGAGAGACCAGAGAGAGAGACCAGAGAGAGACCAGAGAGAGACCAGAGAGAGAGACCAGAGAGAGAGACCAGAGAGAGACCAGAGAGAGAGAGAGACCAGAGAGAGAGAGACCAGAGAGAGACCAGAGAGAGAGACCAGAGAGAGACCAGAGAGAGAGACCAGAGAGAGACCAGAGAGAGACCAGAGAGAGAGAGAGAGACCAGAGAGAGACCAGAGAGAGACCAGAGAGAGAGACCAGAGAGAGACCAGAGAGAGAGACCAGAGAGAGACCAGAGAGAGACCAGAGAGAGACCAGAGAGAGACCAGAGAGAGACCAGAGAGAGAGACCAGAGAGAGACCAGAGAGAGAGACCAGAGAGAGACCAGAGAGAGACCAGAGAGAGACCAGAGAGAGACCAGAGAGAGAGACCAGAGAGAGAGACCAGAGAGAGAGACCAGAGAGAGAGACCAGAGAGAGACCAGAGAGAGAGACCAGAGAGAGACCAGAGAGAGAGACCAGAGAGAGAGACCAGAGAGAGACCAGAGAGAGAGACCAGAGAGAGACCAGAGAGAGACCAGAGAGAGAGACCAGAGAGAGAGACCAGAGAGAGACCAGAGAGAGAGACCAGAGAGAGAGACCAGAGAGAGAGACCAGAGAGAGACCAGAGAGAGACCAGAGAGAGAGACCAGAGAGAGAGACCAGAGAGAGACCAGAGAGAGAGACCAGAGAGAGACCAGAGAGAGACCAGAGAGAGACCAGAGAGAGACCAGAGAGAGACCAGAGAGAGACCAGAGAGAGAGACCAGAGAGAGACCAGAGAGAGACCAGAGAGAGAGACCAGAGAGAGAGACCAGAGAGAGAGACCAGAGAGAGACCAGAGAGAGACCAGAGAGAGAGACCAGAGAGAGAGACCAGAGAGAGAGAGACCAGAGAGAGAGACCAGAGAGAGAGACCAGAGAGAGACCAGAGAGAGAGACCAGAGAGAGAGACCAGAGAGAGAGACCAGAGAGAGACCAGAGAGAGACCAGAGAGAGAGACCAGAGAGAGAGACCAGAGAGAGAGACCAGAGAGAGAGACCAGAGAGAGAGACCAGAGAGAGAGACCAGAGAGAGAGACCAGAGAGAGACCAGAGAGAGAGACCAGAGAGAGACCAGAGAGAGAGACCAGAGAGAGACCAGAGAGAGACCAGAGAGAGACCAGAGAGAGAGAGAGACCAGAGAGAGAGACCAGAGAGAGACCAGAGAGAGAGACCAGAGAGAGAGACCAGAGAGAGAGACCAGAGAGAGAGACCAGAGAGAGAGACCAGAGAGAGACCAGAGAGAGAGACCAGAGAGAGACCAGAGAGAGAGACCAGAGAGAGACCAGAGAGAGACCAGAGAGAGACCAGAGAGAGAGACCAGAGAGAGAGACCAGAGAGAGAGACCAGAGAGAGAGACCAGAGAGAGAGACCAGAGAGAGACCAGAGAGAGAGACCAGAGAGAGAGACCAGAGAGAGAGAGACCAGAGAGAGAGACCAGAGAGAGAGACCAGAGAGAGAGACCAGAGAGAGAGACCAGAGAGAGAGACCAGAGAGAGAGACCAGAGAGAGACCAGAGAGAGAGACCAGAGAGAGAGACCAGAGAGAGAGACCAGAGAGAGAGACCAGAGAGAGAGACCAGAGAGAGACCAGAGAGAGAGAGACCAGAGAGAGAGACCAGAGAGAGAGAGACCAGAGAGAGACCAGAGAGAGAGAGACCAGAGAGAGAGACCAGAGAGAGACCAGAGAGAGAGACCAGAGAGAGAGACCAGAGAGAGAGACCAGAGAGAGAGACCAGAGAGAGACCAGAGAGAGACCAGAGAGAGAGACCAGAGAGAGAGACCAGAGAGAGACCAGAGAGAGAGACCAGAGAGAGACCAGAGAGAGAGAGACCAGAGAGAGAGACCAGAGAGAGAGACCAGAGAGAGACCAGAGAGAGAGACCAGAGAGAGAGACCAGAGAGAGAGACCAGAGAGAGAGACCAGAGAGAGACCAGAGAGAGACCAGAGAGAGAGACCAGAGAGAGACCAGAGAGAGAGACCAGAGAGAGAGACCAGAGAGAGAGAGACCAGAGAGAGAGACCAGAGAGAGAGACCAGAGAGAGAGACCAGAGAGAGAGACCAGAGAGAGAGACCAGAGAGAGACCAGAGAGAGAGACCAGAGAGAGAGACCAGAGAGAGACCAGAGAGAGAGAGACCAGAGAGAGACCAGAGAGAGAGACCAGAGAGAGACCAGAGAGAGACCAGAGAGAGAGACCAGAGAGAGAGACCAGAGAGAGACCAGAGAGAGACCAGAGAGAGAGACCAGAGAGAGAGACCAGAGAGAGAGACCAGAGAGAGACCAGAGAGAGACCAGAGAGAGACCAGAGAGAGAGACCAGAGAGAGAGACCAGAGAGAGAGACCAGAGA